CCAGCTACTTGGGAAGCTGAGGCAAGAGAATCTCTTAAGCCCAAGAGTTTGAGGTTGCTGTGAGCTGTGATGCCACAGCACTCTACCCAGGGTGACATAGTGAGACTCTGTCTAAATAAATAAATAAATAAATTTTAAAAATAAAAAGCTCAAAATTCAAAATTTCAGAATTCATGAAGTTCAAATCAGACTGAGATGTTAACAACCCCCTCTGCTCTGCTCAGCAATGAACAGGAGGAAGGAGTGGTCCCAGCCCTCGAGCAGAGCAGGAGGGACCCCCACGTGCTACTTCCCAAACGTAGCCAGGAGGTCTGGGACCCTCAGAGGAAGCAATTGCTCTGGGTTGGGCTTCCATGGAGTGGGCTGGGCCTTTTCAGGCCACTCTTCCCCGTGTGTCTTCTTCCTGGGGCTCTGAGAAAGGAATGTCCTAAGGGACTTGTGACTCTGGCAGGGCAAGGGTGAAAGACTATGGTGGCACAAAGGGTGCAGGGAGGGGCTCCATGACCCACCCTCAGGGGTGCCAGGCTCTGGCCAGTGAGCTATGCCACCCTGGAACTGAGGACCACCTCCATCAATGGCAGAATAGGAGGTATTAGCCTGGGAACTTCAGAGGACACTGGGAGGCCAGCCCCTTGAATAAACGACAAAGGTCACCACCAGCAGTAACAGCTCTCATAAAGAGAAACAAAAACACTGGCTCTCAAGGCAAGCCAGGGCACAGAGGCAGACAGGATCTTCCCACCTTTTACCTTTGATTTGGGCCTGGTTCCCTGCTCTCCACTGCCACCACCTCCTGGCCTCCCAGTGGCCTCCCCTGTCCTACGAGGAGGAAGGCAGCACTCACCCTAAGCAGGAGGGACTGCAGGTCTTCCAAGTGAGCCCACTGCTCAAAGACATTGTCCAGGGTCTCGATGTACCAGGAGCCGTTCTGGGTGTCTCTCCAGGAGACAAAACCTTCAGAAGGAGGAAGGTGGAACTTGGGTGGAGAGCCACCCTCTCCCGGCACACGAGGTCTCTGATGACCTCCAGAGTTGACCCATTGACTGTCTAGCAGAAGCAGCCCTCCTCACTGCAGCTCTGCCCGACTTGTGATCTTATTCATTCTTCACAACCAAATCCCAACTTTGGCTGTGATTTCGGTCTTCCTTTCTTTTCTCTTTTTTTTTTTTTGTAGAGTCAAGAGTCTCACTCTATCACCCTCGGTAGAGTGCCATGGCATCACAGCTCACAGCAACCTCCAACTCCTGGGCTTAGGTGATTCTCTGGCCTCAGCCTTCCTAGAAGCTGGGACTACAGGTGCCCACCACAACACCCAGCTATTTTTTTGTTGCAGTTTGGCCGGGGCCAGGTTTGCACCCACCACCCTCAGTATATGGGGCCAGTACCCTACCCACTGAGCCACAGGCACCACCCAATTCCCATCTTCCTAATGGAGGAGTCAAAGGACTCACCCAAGGGATAAGAAGGAAGGAAATCACCATCTGCGGCACCTACTATGTGCCAGGCCCTGTGCTCGGTGATGCACCAGCCACCTGTTTCTTCCCCTGTGACAACCCCTGCAGTATGATGACTATTCCCATTCTAAAGATGAGAAGGCTGAGGCAGGGCGAGGCAGTGAGACACACAAGCTTGAGGGCGTGTGCCTCCTTAAACCATGCATCCTCCCCCAATTCAACCCGAGCTGAGGGTCAGAAGGGGAGTGATTTGTTTGGGCTTACACAGGTGGCAAGAGGCAGGACCAGGACTCACACCCTGGTCTTTTCTTTCACAGCACAGCTGCCTCCAGGGCAGATGGGAGATCGAATTTTCCTGATACGCTCACCTGGGAAGGTGGGGTAGGACACAAAGATGTCACTGGGTGTGGGCAAACTAGATATGGCGTCCAGCTGGTCACTGGTCCTGGAGCCCTCCTGGAATGGGGTGGCGTCTGGCTCTGGGTTACTGCCAGAGGCCCTGTCTTCAGGGGCACTGTCTTCAGAGGTCACCTCAAACCCATGATCTTTCTGCCCTGCAGGAAGTAGAAACAAACACCACTTGTCACTGAAACACACAGACCAGGGCTCCAGCCTCACTTCTTGGCCTTATCTAGCCCGTCCCCAGCCCAAGACCACTTGATTTCCTCTGGAGCCAGGGTCCCAATGCTGGATAAGCATCAGCAGCAAACAGAAGCTTTCCTTCTTCCTTTTTTTTTTTTTTTTGTGAGATAGAGTCTTACTTGGTCACCCTGGGTAGAGTGCTATGACATCACAGCTCACAGCAACTTCAAACTCCTCTGCTCAAGTCATCCTTCTGCCTTAGCCTCCCAAGTTGCTGAGACTGCAGGAGGACACCACCATGCCCAGCTAATTTTTCTATTTTTCGTAGAGACAGAGGTCTCGTTCTTGTTCAGGCTGGTCTCGAACTCCTGAGCTCAAGGGAGTCACCTGCCTCAGCCTCCCAGAATGCTAGGATGACAGCCGTGAGCCACCTCGCCCACGAGGAGAGACTTTACTTTTTCCTGCAACAACAGTATTATACATCCGTAGAGTAAAACTGGGGGGAAGAAAGGAAAATGCAGAAATTTTCAAAACACCTATAAAAATAAGTTATAAGATATATATCCCAAATAATTGAAAACAGGTATTCAAACAAAACCTTGCACACAGCTGTGTATAGTAGCACTATACACGATAGCCAAAAGAAATAACCCAGGGTCTATTAACAGATGACTAGATAAGCAAAACGTGGTATAGGCATAAAGGGAATATTATCCAGTCTTAAAAATGAGTGAAATACCAACACATGGGGAGGCGCCTATGGCTCAGTGGGTAGGACGCCGACCTCATATACTGAGAGTGGCGGGTTCAAACCCGGCCCCGGCCAAACTGCAACAAAAAAAAATAGCTGGGGGTTGTGGCAGGCGCCTGTAGTCCCAGCTGCTCGGGATGTGGAGGCAAGAAAATCACATCAGCCCCAGAGTTTGACGTT